TGCGTTGCCATAATTTTACTTCACATTCCAACTTTCAACAAATCGGATCCACTCACGGCTATCACGGAATCCATCGTAGTCCGATTTTTCGAGAAATCTACGAAAATGATATCATTGGATGTGATCGCATTTTCGTAGTTTTCACGAAAAATCGGACTACGATGCATTCTGTGATAGCCGACACTATCTACGAAAATATCGCAGTTCTTACATTTTTCGAAAATACCGTTATATGGGCGGTGGGTGGTTATTGTTCGATTTAGCCCATTTTCAATACCAACCTACCTGGATAAAGGGCAATCGTATACCAAATTTTGTTACACCGACAGGCGGACGGTGAGAAAGATAAGGCTCAACACTACGACTGAATAGAGACACTACTACCAGATGTAGAGACCCGCGGGCTGAGCGTGGATAAGACGACGGTCCTTACCTAATTCATCGCACGCTTGAGATCGCGTTCGCAGCCTTCGAGTCACCGTTCCCTCACAGTTTACCGGGGATCCGCGTACAGGCGATACCCGATCGTCTACGTCAACGTCAGTCGTAGCAGAGCGCCAGCAGAGGAGCGTCAACAGTCAGTCATTACAGTAGAGCAGTGATGGGCATCAAACGATTTGCACTTGCTGCACATGCCTGCAGTAGAGTGTCAACAGAGGTGTAACCCCGAACACGGCGTATACCAATCTGCACATAAATTATGGAAATCTCCATAGACGTTGCAAACAGTTCACAGAGTTCTATTGTGGAAGAATGAGACAAAATAAAAAATCCCGGAAATGAGAAGAGATATTGAAATAAATGAGCTTTCTAAAAAAATAAAATGCGTTTTTCGGTTTTTGCTAACCTTCTATTTTGGAAGCTCGTTTTAAAAGTGAAAGTACTTATTTTATCCAATAAGACCATTTTCCTGAATACTCCATCTTAAAAGCTTTAAAACTCCGTTACATTTATTTACGCTATCTCATCTCGTTCCTGAAATATTTGATTTTGTCCCTTTTTCCAAAAATGACCACTGTGTCGCGCCGCCATTTTTAATCGAATCATGGCACGGCGGTGCAGCAAAACATTTTGTTACAACCTATTTTATATTATTGAGATATTTATCAGAATGTGAACAGTTAATTACATAAACAGTGAACATGACTATGGCATACAAATGTATTTATGTATCGTAATACATTTCTTAAATATACATAAATAAAATGAACTGAAGAAATGAATTGAAATACCTTTTTGCTGTGCTATATAATGCTAATTTACACCTTTTTGAATATGTATTTTTTTTCGTTTAGTA